GGGGGAAATGAGGAGAACACCTTCTTCTCAATGCTCTCTTTCCACTGGCCCTCGCCCCAGATGTGGTCTCATCGCACACTGCCTCCTTCACTGAGACTTCACCCTCCCTTCGCCGGCCCTCTGATGCAATGGATTATAAAAGCAGACCTCCGAATCCCATCCAGTTTTCAAAATCCACCTCCCAGGCTTTTCTGTCTAGACAATTCCAACTCACAGTGCTCTCTTTCTCCTCCAGCACCCTTATGGTCTGCATGATACCTTTTCATTGCACCTTCTCAATATAACATACAAAATTACTTGACTTCTGACACCAAACAAACTGGGGTTCATTTGCTAGCAGTGTGATCTTGTCATTCCTCTAAGTCCCAGTGTTCTCAGTTACAAAAATAGGGATAGCAAGAGTTCAGTACCCTTAGTTGTTAGAGGATTAGGTGAGGTAATTCATGCTAAGTGCCTAGTGCAGAATGAACACACAATAAATATTAGTCATTTTAATGTTTTCAGCAGTCATCCTCTAAGGAGGATTTTTTTTTCTTTTTCTTGTCTTGTCTTGTCTTTTCTTGTCTTTTTTTTTTTTTTTTTTTTTTTTTTAATACTTTAAGAGCTAGACAGGTTCTAGGCTCTTGAGGGCAGAGACTACATCTTACAGATTTTTAATAAATATATCTTTATAGAATTTATGACTAAACTAGAGGCCCAGTGCACAAAATTCTTGCAAGGGAGTATGGGGGTGCAGGGAGAGACGACTAAAATCGTATACCTATGGATGAGGACAATGGGGGTGGGGAGTAAGGGTCAAGGGTTGGGAACCAGGTGGAAGGGAGCTACGGGGGAAAAGGAGAAACAATTGTAATATGAGCAATAAAGATTTATTAAATTTTTAAAAAATTAAAAAGAAAAATAAATAAAATTAAAAATAAATTCTTGCAAGGGTAGGGTCCTTAGGCCTAGCTGGCAGTTGGGGCCAATCAGGGCCTTGGGCTACTGCCTGGGGCCTCAATTCATTCAATTCAATGCCGCCCCCTGGTGGTCAGGGCAAGTCATAGCAAGTGATCAAACTCCCAGTCTCCTAGTTGAACTCCTGAGGGGACACTGCATATTAGCCTTGTGTGTGTATATATATATATATATGTGTGTGTGTGTGTGTGTGTGTGTGTGTGAGAGAGAGAGAGAGAGAGAGAGAGAGAGAATATATATATACACACATATATATATATGAAAAGATGACAGTACTTTCTCAATAATGAGGCTAAGGGGACAATGATATCAAGCTGATGAACAGAGCTAATCCAAGGTTAGGAAATATAAACCTCACTATACATTTAAGAATGCCCCATTATGGGCCGGGCATTATTCAGAAGGTTGCAATAATTCACAGAATAGACCATGAATATCTCACCCAGGAAGTACCCAAATTTATCTAATAAATACAGAAGCTGTACAGGAATAGATAGCCTGCAATTGCCAGAGTCTTCCCTAACTCCGTGTCTCACAGAAAGTCTTAGCTGTGGCCTATGACCTGAGGAGGAGCAACCTATATAATATTATTAGCCAATGTCACCACAATAGGTTTAATTTAAACAAATAAAGTGAAGATAGCGATCCAAATTTCCTCCTATCACCACAGACCTTTAAGTAGAGCGTAAGTACTTTTCTGGAGGCTGTAAATTATCACTGTCTATGAAGACAACCTCTAAGCATCTGTGAGACACTAAGAGTATTTCAACTACTGTTTTCCTAAAACCTGCATGAAAACGTCTAAGGCAGGTAGGTGAGCAAAGCTTGTTTTAAGCAACTTAACAAATATTTAATTTACACTCTCAGTTCTCTATTTCACGCAACCCATTACCAACTTAAGGAAAATCCTTAAGTTAGGTAAAAGATAAACAAGAATGCCTTGTAACCTCTATTTCAGTCCTAGCACACAGAGCCAATCAAGAGTCTATTTTTCATGTTTACTAAGTAATACAATGGAAGAGCTAAGTCAAAGGTCCTATTACCTGAAGACAGACCTTATGATGGAATTTCATTTGGGGAATTATTTCATCTGTTCGTTCAAAAAATATTTACTGAGCACTTACATGTCAGGTAGTTCTAGTTGCTAAGAACAGAACAGCAAATAAAAGGTAAAAATACCTGTTCTTTAAAAACTCAAAGACACAGACCATAGTATGGTGGTTACCTGAAGGAAGGGAGTTCAGAGTAATAAAGGGTAAAGGGGTGTCAAATATAAGGGGGGCTCATAATCTAATCTATAGATGGCCTATTATAGAATTGTACACTTGAAACCTATATAATATTAACCAATGTCACTCCGCTAGATTTAATTGAAGTGAAAATGAAGATCCAAATTTCCTCCTAAGAAAATACTTGTTCTCAGGGCATTCACATCTAGTAGGGGGTACACTGGTAAACGAACAATGACTATAAGATATGCAGGAGCTGGTGGGGCCCAGCAAAGAGGAAGAAGTGGAGACATCTGTAAAAGTGTCAACAATAAAAATAGAGGAAAAGAAAGACGTGATTGGCACTGTGTGATAGAGAAAAACAAAGCAGGAGGAGGATAGAGAGAAGAGAGGTGGAGCTGTGGTCTTGCATCAGGGGGTGCTTCTGTAAGGAAGCAACATGGAGAGAGGAGGAACCTAGTCTATGTAAGTATCTGGGAAGTGAAAGCCAAGTGTTAGGTAGATACCCAGCAAGAAGAACAAAAGACCCCTGGAGTGGAAACCTAGCTCTTTGCCTTTTACCAACCCAGAAGCCTTTAGGAGAAACCTGCTTTACCTCAGTTTCCTGAACCTCAGTTTTTCCCTCCGTGTTGATAGTATTACGTACCGCACAAAGCGATTTCAAGGGGGAAAGGGTGTTTGGGGGGCGATTCCCAGGTGTGTGTCCTGAGGGCAATGGGGAATTGAATCAAGTCTCTGCTGGCTTCAAGCCAGGACCTAAATAAACAACCGAGCTTGTTTCTTCCCCTGCCCAATGAGGACACTGGTGCCTATCTCATCCGTCCTAGTGGTTTTCAATGAATGGGATCATCCACATAAATGCAGCGACTGGCGCACCAACTCAGGACGTGAAAAGCCATCTCCCAGCTCCTCCGGGTGTGCGAGCTGCGGCTGGCCCGCTCAGCAGGGACACCCACGGCGCGGCTGCCCAGCCCATGGGAACGTGCGGGGCTGTCCGGCCTGTCCTCACATCCACAGGGTGACACCGGCATGTCCAAGAGGCCAACTGCACTCCCTGCAGCCCCTGACCACACTCCATCCCGTGGTAAACGCCCTGGACACAGAGCCACCATCAAACGCCCTTTCCTGGGGGGCTCTCAGCCAGCGGCGCAGGGAGCTCCGCCCTCGGGGCAGCGCCACTTCCGCCAGCTCGCTGACCTTGCGCACAGAGGCCGCCTTTTATACCGCCGTGATGACGTCACTGGGAGACGGCTGCATGGCCACGCCCCGGCCCCGGTCCTGAGACCCGGCCTCTGCGCAGACGCCGTGCTCTTCCCGAAGAGGTCGGAGCGGGGTCCCGCAGCATCGCAGCCAGCGGGTCGCTGGACTTTGCCGAGCGGCCCGAGGGGGCGCAGGGCCGGGGGTACATGCTGCTGGGGGTTAGCGGGGAGAAAGAGCGCGGTGCTGGGAAAGTTCCCGAGTCCTGTGGGGGTGTGGGCAGCACGTGTGGTGGTCGGAAGGCGGAGGGATCTTCGGTTCAAAAGGCTGAATTCAGGGCGGGGGGTGTGGGTGTGGGTGTGGGTGTGGGTGTGGGTGTGTGTGTGTGTGTGTGTGTGTGTGTGTGTGTGTGAAGTCTGATGGCGAAACAGGAGAGAGTGATCCTGGATCAACTTTCTGGGGTTTCCGTGACGCTGCACTGGAAGCTGGGAGGAAGGCTGCGAAGACTGAGCTGCAGGGGGTTTAGGGGGAAACGTCTGTAACTCCATCCTTGGGGGCAGGGGTGGGGATCCTGGGGCGATTGCTGTCCTCGGTGCTGAAGACAAGACAATGGTCCCTGGAAGGCAGGGCAGGCCGGACGCTGTGACAATCCCGTGGCCTGGCTCCCTGCCCTGCACTTTTCCACAGCCCGGGGCACTTGGGCTATTAGCAATCAGTGTGCCATTTCATAAAGTTTAGGAGAGCCAGTGCTTCATTGCAGGAAGGGGTTTTATTCCTGCCTTTTGTCCCTTAGGGGCCGGCCCCCTCAACTTTTGCACCCAATCCGATGACTTGCCTTTAGGACCCCAGTCTTTCAGAGCACTTCGCTGCTACTGGCCCGGGCTCTTCAGCCAAGGTGAGCTTGCTCATGGGCCATGAAAACGGCCTTCCCAGACTTCCCAAGTGGGAGTCCTGAGTAGCCAGGTTGAGGTTGAGGGGTTAATGGTGCTTTCCCCACAGTTACACACAACATTTTGCTATTTGGAAAAGAGATGGTGGGGCAGGGCAGTCTTTCAATAAAGGGAGTTTCAGTGGTTCTAATACTTGTTTGCGCGCCTCTCTCTCTCTCTCTCTCTCTCTCTCTCTCTCTCTCTGTGTGTGTGTGTGTGTGTACGTGCATGAGGGATGGTGTTCCTGTGATGAATATTACAGAGCAGATATTTTTCTTTCTGTTTACTAAAAGATTCAATAAAATGTTTACTAGTCTTAGTACCAGCTGCTTGTTTATTTTTAATTCTGTTTAAGGTTAAAATATGTGTGTGTGTGTGTGTGTGTGTGTGTAGGGGGAGGATAGGGAGAGGGGAAAATATGAAACGTGTTGAATTTACCTGACTCACAGTATTTTTAAGTGCATCTCGTATAAGAAAAACTATGCATTGTAAGTAAATATGTTTTAGATGCAGTCTTTCATTTTATACATTATTACAACTCAAGTTTTATTTTTTATTTATTTTGAGAGAACCAATGGGTTGAGGTACTAAAATGATCAAATGTTGCAAAGCTGAGGGCATGTGGTGGAAGTAACTCTATATGTTTTTATTATTTAGCAGAAAGCTCGTAAGGCAGCTTTAACTAAAGATGACTTCCTTGTTCGCTAAAGAACTTCGCCTTTCTAAAAGACATGAAGAAATGTAAGTTTTTTAAAAGGCTAATTCATCTAAATGTATAAATTACACTGACTAATGAAACAGTGTGTGCACAGGAAGACTTCAAGATCTGAAAGTGTGTCATTTCAATTTTCTGACACTTGAGTGATTTTGGTCTTAGGGAATGTCATTGTTTCAAGAATAACAAAAATTAAAAGATATAATTTATGTTCTGTATGTTTTCATTGTTATTACTGTTAGATAATTTCATCGCTCCTCTCACCCTTTCTAGGCCACACACCGATAATTAATGGACTTCTCTAGGCCTCTTACCCTGGCCACTTCCTGGGGTGTGTGCCCTGTGCAGCCACAGCCCCACACTTGGCTTCATTCTCTAATGTTGGACTCCTGAAATTCCTAGTGCTTTTTAATAAGGGATCTCATGGTTTCATTCTGCACTGGGCCCTGCAATGATACAGTCAGTCTTGCACTTACATTTGGTATTTAACCCTTCTCCACCGCTGACTGCAGGTTCTCATGTTTTCCTTTCCTCTAATCAATTACTAGGCCCTCTTCCTTGGCCTTGAACACATGGCGGACCAGTAGTTTTATTGCTAGTTTCACCCAGTGGCCAGATAAGTTTCTATTGAATGAGTACAAAAAAAATGTTTTACATAAGTGTTAAAGGCAGCTTTAAAATTAAATACCCATTGCATTTTGAAGTTATTTACTACATGTTCTTACAAGCTAATATCTTCTTAAAGTATGATACTTTGTAAAACACTGTAATATGAAGCGAGAATTCTTGTGATCAGTCCGCAATGTGTTAAGAAATTTTGTTTACGGAAATAACTGTTCAAATAAATTCTAGCTCTACCTTCAATAACAGCCCTATGAAGCAAAGTTTCTTGACAATCACCACACTTATCTGGGAAATGGTTAAATTATTATATATACCACTTACTTATTTTTTATCATCTGACATCTTTTCTACGAATCATTTAAGAGGACCAAAAACTTGTAGACTGAGCATTGGATCAATGAGAAACTTTTAAAGTATATTACGTATAACAAAGTGGTTTGATAATTCACTTACAAGTTTTTACATCTTTCTTCAATTGCTGATTTACCTTGTGGATATGCATACATAGAGCCTCTCACTCATCTTTCTCTTGGCAAAAGAGGAAAAAAATATTTTTATTGCTTCTTCAAACATATGGAAGTTTAGCACAATTCTAAATGTGTAATATGAGCTTCAGGGGTATTGAAGTGTTAAGCAGAAGGTTTTGTATAGCAAGTTATGTCAATGTATGTATGTGTGGAGGTGTATATATAAGCATATAGAAAGTATGTATAAAGGGATGTGTATTACAGTTTGCATTTTCACCAAAAAGGAAAACATATTTTCACATTTTAATATAATTTCAGAAGTCCAGAGAGGCTAAAAAAACAGAAGCATGTACTTATGGTATACCAGTATATGTTAATGAAAATAAAAATAATTTTATCCAGATTTAAGACTTAATGAATAGCTAGTAAGTTTTTCACTATCTTATTAATTGACATAGTAATTGGCTTTCAAAATAGGTTGAATTCGAAGTACAATTAAGAAATTAATGTTTTACATTGGTCAAGCAATAAATGTCTCCTTCTAAAAGAACTTTATATAATCTCCATTTTTTTCTAGAGTATCACAAAGAATAAAGTTACTTCAACAAAGGAAGAGTAAATTAGATCAAAACAGGGAAAAAGCATCCCAGACTCAAGCAGCTGAGGCTGCTTTTAAAAGGAACCTTAGCCTTTTAAAGGTAAGTTTCCATGGCTTGAGTATAGAGACTTTGCCCAACTTTCCAAAAATGTTTCAAGCGAAGTTCATAATTTTGATTAATATAATGTCTTTGTCGTGAGTAAAAAATAGAATTAATGAAGCACCACCTACTTTTTAGATCCATGTTAGTTAGATAAAAAAAAAAAAACATATGGACTCATTTTTTAAATGAAAAAAAGTGAAGTTTGCTTAAGCTAAATGTTCTCAATCAACCAGAAAAATCAATGACTACAGAAGGAATTCTAGGGTCGTCTTTTGTGCAATAAGTAATAAATACACGATGTAGCTTTCCATCTTTTCTTTGTAGGGAGATCTGAAATGCCATAAAGTACCTATAATGTATTTAGATCCAACTCAAAACTATTTTAACATCATAGAAACAAGGAACGATTTGATTTTGCCTTACCAGGGCCACAGTCAACACACAGATTCATATCTCAAATAACAGATTTTCAAGATCCCTTTGGATGGTGATGGAGGGGGTGGTCAAAGTGTGTAATTGCGCAGGGCCTCACCATTTGGCCAATGTGCCCACTTGGAGTAAAATCATATGTGTAACATTTTTGGCTGCTTGCTATACTTTGCTTCCAGAATTGTATGGCTTCATCCATAATTAAAACCCTAAAAGTTTGCTTCCAGTCAAGCTTCCAAGAGATCCTATGACTAAAACATTTGGTGGAAAGGCTATATTATTTAAGTTATAAGGCAGTGTTTTCAGTTTTTATTGTTAAATATTTTCATCGATAGGCATGATATAGCTATCTTCTGTCCTCACTAGAGGATAAAGGAAGAGGGAAATTCAGTTATCTTCTCAGCTTCTGGCAGTTTGAGCCACAGTAATTTAAGTCACAGCCATAGTGCTACCAAAGCATTCTATATTGCCATATGTCTTACTTGCCCAATGGTTTTTGCAATATTTATTTTTAAATGGAAAAATATAGGAGAATCTGGAATTTGCTGCGAAAAGTCAGAAAAACTAATTAGAAGGCTTGAAGGCTTGGTTGCCACTTCCTGATACTTCCTGCAACTGCAGGGAATATTTGGTTTTCAGGCATCTTTTAATGAACAAATATTTGATGGATTTCTAGAGGGTCCTTACAATTGAGCTAGTTCTAGTTAAGAAGTGGGGACAACAAAATAAATATAAATCAGAGTTCTTCACCTCAATAAGCTAACAGGCTTAGTTGATGAGGTCAAGTTGTCACACACAGAATATGAGACACTATATGATCAAACAGTAAGTTATGTGGACTACTCAGCACTCATATTCTTTGGGTAAGTGTAGAAAATCTTGGAGAGCTCGAATCTTTTAAGGGTCTCAGAGGAGGCTAGGCTGGAGCTGTGTGTAAACAGGCAGAAGGCGATGCATTCCACTGGATGGTTGTAGGAGAGCAAACAGCAGAAGGATGAGTGGCCCTCAGAGCGTTTGTGGGGCTATGAGCTAACTGGCTTGGCAAGTCACAGGAAAAGGTTGGATATGTACTGTGAGTCCAAATGAGGAAATTGAGACTTGATATATACAGATAATATTATAGTGAAAGTATGTGAGCTAAAGAAAAATAAAAGACTTATGTAAGAAATGTGTAAGTATTTGAGGAGGACTCATTTGCTATTTAGATGTAACGTGATTTCAAGAATGGAGAGACTGAATAGGTATGAAATTAACTGTCATATCCAGAAGAAAATAATGAACTGTTTCATAACCATCAGAAACCAGTGTGATATGGTATTACCCCTGATTATCAAAGTAATATATTTTCATGGCAAAAATCTTGAAAGAGCAAAGAAGATGAAATAATTTCCTTATCCTGCCCATCTAGGAATTAATATGTTTTTGTAATTTCCTTACAGTCTTTTAATAAACATTTATTGAGCACCTATTACATCCCATATACAGTCTCTTCCCTGGCTTTGTTTTACATATTTTGGATAACTGAGTAAACAGTTTTTATTCTGCTTTCTCTCATTTTCTTAACTTTGGAAATAATTTTAATGGCTCATAAAAATTATCATTAAAGTAAAATAGGACTTGATTATGGAATTTTGAGTTGGAAGAGACTTTAAACAGCATATAGATTAGATGAGGTTGTCATCTAAAGGTTTTTAATATTTTTTCACCATATACCTTTCCCAAAGATGTAAAATAGATAAAAATGGACAGCCTTGGTCCAAAGCCCCACCCATTTAGCCCTTTTTTGCCTGCCCTGCTGTGTCTCTAAGGAACTGTGAAAATCACTAACCTGCTCTAATTCCTTTATGTAGAGATCAGGAAACCATAACTATTCCTAAGAACAGGTTGAGTTACATCAGGATATGTACTTAGTGCAAAATATACTTCAAAAATGGATCCATTAAAACTTGGGAGCATTCCTATAAATACAGTAGCAACAAAATAACGATGACATAGCTCACCATCCATTACTTGATCTTATTTAGATGTGCTGGCCAATATAATAAACACTAAAAGGGAATAGCTTTAACTTTTAGAAAGGAAAGTGCAACACTATCATTCTAAAATGGTATGGTTATATGCTAAGAAAAGCCAAAATTGTTTTAAAACTACTACATTATGAGTTGAGCAAAATTAATAAAAATAAGCATATAAAATCAACAATCCTATAGATATAGTTGTAAAATGAGATAATTTCCACATTAACAACCCTACATAACGAAAGAGTAATATGCAAATTAACCATCACTCAGCTCCACAAGCCACACCCATAAGCCAATCAGAGTGAGTATGCAAATTAACCCCAACCAAAATGGCTGCAGCCACAGAGGAGGGAAGCTTGGGTTTCTCTGGCAATGTTAGAAGCCAGGCTTTCTGCCTGCCCTTGCTGGCCTAAGCCTCCACTCAAGGCTACAAAGTTTCAATTGTAGAAGGTAAATAAATTTCAGATACCAGAGCCTCTGCTTGGGTCCCTTGGGGGTGTGGCCGGCCTGCAAACCACCATAGGCCCCTCAGGCCACCCTACGCCCCAAGGGAACTCCCACCCTGATCCAGGACACCCTTCAGGGCAAACCAATTGTCCCCCACCTGTGCACCAGGCCTCTATCCTACCTAATAAAAGAGTAATATGCAGATTGACCATCACTCCAACACACAAGTTATCTGCCCCCATGTAGTCAAAGATCCTGCCCCCATGTGGACACAAGATGCCTACCACAAGATGGCCAACAGGGGAGGGCAGTTGGGCGGGACCAGGCCTTCAAGGGAGGGCAGTTGAAGGCTATCAACTTTGCAGGGGAGGGCAGTTAGGAGTGACTAGGCTGGCAGAAGAGGGTGACTATGCCCTGGCAAATTGGCTGGCAAGGGAGCAGTTAGACATCAATCAGGCTAGCATGGGAGTGGTTAGGGGGTGATCAGGCTGGCAGGCAGCAGTTATGGGCAATCAAGAAGGCAGGCAGGCTAGCAGTTGGGAGGCAGCAGTCCTGGATTGTGAGAGGGATGTCTGACTGCCCATTTAGGTCCGATCCTGGTGGGATCCCAGACTGGAGAGGATACAGGCTGGGCTGAGGGACAAACCCCCCTCTTGCCCCTGTGCACAAATTTCGTGCACTGGGCCTCTAGTAAAACTATAAAATACGTTGGAATGCTCTTAACAAAGGGCATGATTTATATAAAAACAATTATGTTTTAGTGGGAGATTAAAGAGAAAATTTAAGTGGAGATACATACCTTAATCCTGACTGGGCAGTATTATTTTTCTAAGGTCAGTTGTCACAAAGTTATTTAAAAATTTTTTAAAAAATATATTTTTATTGACTTCAGAGAAGAGAGAGAAACATCAATGATGAGAGAGAATCACTGATTGGCTGCCTCCTGCATGTCCCACACTGGGGATCGAGCCTGCAACCCTGGCATATGCCCCTGACTAGTCCAAACCCGGGAGACCCTTCAGTCTACGTCCACTGCTCTATCCACTGTGCCAAACCAGTGAGGGCTATTTTTAAATGTAATAAAATCCCAACAAAATGAATATGAAACTCAATGAAATTTCTCTGAATGCATTTGTAAAAATAAATTAGCCAGTTGACAGAGCCTTCCACAAACTGCTTGCCACCCAGGATGGCCAGTGACTTACAGGTCCATGTTGGTCCTCTTTCTTCCTCACAGTTCTCATTTTCTCCAATTCAGTGAAGAATAAGTGAATACTTAAGTATTCCTTGTAACAATGACTCTGTGTCTCCTGCTTTATTGTCTAATTTTTCCTATCCCAGAAACTGCACCTCCATCAGCTTAAAAGATTAGACCCAGCCCAGGCCCATCTGGGTTCACTGTACATTTGTAGGGAGATGCCTGTTGCTAAGTTGGAGGGAAGAGGTCTGTGAGGAAAGGAAGATCTCTGTCCATGAGCTTCTGGGTTCGAGTTTTACCTTTCCTGATCACGTCAGCTCATCTTTACTTGCTGCCCCAGTGTAACACACCATGATGCACATTGGAAGCTTGTGATTTAATTGTCATAAGAAGAATGTACTTGCATATGTATATCACCAAATTCAATGATTATCAAACACAGCCAGTCATGTTTAATCCATGCCCCTCACCTCCAATCCCAGCCCCTCAGATTATTTTGAAGCTAATATTCAGCAACACATTGTTTCATCTGCGCAATTTATTACCTCTATATTATTTCAGTGTTTATCAGTAAAAGAGGACTATTTTAATCAAAGTCATAAAATCATTATCAATCTAAGAAGTTTACAGTAATTCCTTAAATAGCCAGTGAGGATTCAAATTTCCCCGATTCACTTATAAACACGTTTTTACATTTGTCTGAATCAGGATCCAAATAAAATCCACCATTAACACAACAGGTGATTGTGGTGGGGAGGGAGTGGGGGTGGAAGAGGGTATGGGGGATAAATGGTGATGGGAAAAAATTAAGTTAAAAAATATAATCCTCTAAATACACAAATAAAATCCAATTTTTAATTTATTGATTACAGTCCTGACTCTCTAAAAGCCTCCCTGCCCTTTTAATTTCTTTGTTGAAGGAATTGGGTCATTTGTCCCACAGAAGTTTCTGGAGCCCAGGCATTGCCAGCTACATTGCTGAGGCATCAGTGGGTGTCCCTTTGACTCCCAGAATTCCTAGGCACTGATTCGCCTAAGTTGTGCTGTGCAGCAGAATGAGAGCTATATATGTAATTTTAGATTTTCTGGTAAACACTTCCAGTAAAATCACATGAAATAGATTAAGTAAAATGCTATTAATTCCATCATACAGAAAGCATCATTTCAAGTGTAATTGCTTTCCTTTCCTTCTGGCAGCGTGTAGTCAGACATTTTCCAGTCAGGCTAAGAAATTCATACTTCATTCTCTGGGTAGTGGGTTATCAGTTACTCTTTTAATCTAGGTAAGGACATATTTTAAGTTGATTTTTTTTTTTTTTTTTTTTTTTTTAGCAAAATTAGTCCAATTCAGTATGGACTGAAGTAACTGGGATGTAGTCTAGGCCTAGTTCAGGAAAGCATTCAGTGAGGATCTGTTGAAGGATAAGTGTACTAAGCCCATCGCATTGGGAATGATGTGGAAAGGCAGAGAGACATCCCGAAGCGCTGAGCTTTCAATGGCAGAGAGTGAGAGAGTGAAGATAAAGGACAGCTGGGTGAATACATTCAGTACCTTCAGTAGCAAGAAGATGAGGTTGGTTTATTAGACTGAGAAGTAAGGGCTAGGAAGAAAAATCACCCATCTTCCTACATGAATGGTTGAAGCAGAAGAGAAGATACCATTTTGGAGGGCGAAAAAGCAAAAAGACGACAACAGTTGTCACAAGTCTTAAGCCCACACTTGGGATAAAGGAGAAAGGAGCCAGCTAAGCAGACAAGGGGTCAGAGAGGTAAGCAGGACATCCACAGAGTGAGCCTCCCCTCAGGAAGAAGCCCTCTGGAGGTGATGACCTCCTATGGACGAGCTGCACAGGTGACCGCCCAGCCCCTAGCCCGGCCTGCCTTCCAGGCCACGCCTCCCTGTACGGATCTGCTCTTCTGTGAGAGATTCGGTGTCCTTACTTTCTGATCTTAAAAGTGTTTATAATCATGTCCACAGGTACCAGTGACACCTAGATCTACCATTAACAATAACTATGCCCTGGCCAGTGTCGCTCAGTGGTTGCACACTGCAGGGTTGCAGGTTCAATCCCCAGTCCAGGTTGGGGTGTATGCAGGAGGCCATCAAGCTATGTGTCTCTCTCACATAGATGTGTCTCTCTCCCCCTTTCCATTCTTCATAGAAATATATATCTCCTTGGGTGAAGATTAACAAAAAAATACAAACAACTTTATAACTGTCCTTATAATAATGGCTTAATTAGGGTTGTGATTTTATTCTATTTGTCTTATAAAGTAAAACATTATTTTCCCAGGATTCCATAAAAATCTCAGTGTAATCACAGAGGAGTCAGTGTTCTGTCTGCTGTAGCATTGGCATCCAATCTCCTCAGCATGTGTCTTAGCTGTAAACTTCTGGGATGGGATCACCATGCTAATAGATGGGCTTTTTATCTTTACATTTCTGTCTTTCCCCTTCAAATCACCTTCCTCTAGACAGCAGGTGCACCAATGGCTGTGCAAGTTTGGGGAGTCCCTTTAGGGAATTTCCTGTTTTTCCCTTTTACATTTCACACCCATCCCGTGCTCCCCGCCGCTGCCATCTGCTATCTCTTTTCTCTTGTTCAGCACTGGCTTCTTCACACCCACACCCACGCCCTTCTCCATCTCCCTCCGTCTGTCCACCAGCCCTGCACTTAGACTGCTCCAATGCTCGTACCAGGATCAGGCAGTGTTCCTTTTCTCTAAGCTCAAAGGAGAGACAGGATTCACGTGGCCTTCAGCCAAGGCCTCTGTGAACCTGACAAACATAAGCAGGCACCAGACACACAGGTGCTGATGGGAGCATTCATTTACACAGAGCTCACGTTTCAGGAACCACTTGGAGGTGCTACGTTTCTGGGCACGAAATTCATACATGCATCAAGGTAAAGGCTTTCCCAGGGTATGGATTAAGTTTAATTACCCTGGTGTTGCTACAATCATGAGAGGAAATACACACGTCTACAAGCTAAGCTCCAAATTAAAGCGGAGCTTGAATGTTGTCAGCTGAATGATACACAGCCCAGCAGTAAAGCCTGCCATCGAGGTTACCTTAGAAATCCAGCTCTAAAAAACTTGATAAAGTGAACAGGTTCTTGTTGCAAAGTGACTTTTTAAATGTGAGGCGTATCTGCGTAAGTATAAAATTCTACAAGAGTGCAATATTGAACAAATGAAATGCGTCATTCATGTATCGTTTACATGATCCAGACAGAATCTATCTCTTTACTTTCGAGGTTAGCACAGTGTGGGGCTGGGTAACGGACTGTTTTTGTATCTGAATATTTGACTATTTTATCCATCTGGCTGTTTTTAATGATTTTAGAACTAAGTTGGTGCTCTGAGCAGTTTTAGAGGAAGGTGTTGTTTTTTTTTTGTTTGTTTTGTTTTTGCAAAAATTACTGACTCTATTTAAAATAAGGCAGAACTTAGAAGTACCCCCTGCCCCACACCTTTTATTTAAAAAAAAAAAAAAAAAAAAAAAAAAGCTCTGCATTTTGTATCTGAAATGGTCAATCAAGCAATGAGCAGCTCTCCTACTTCATTCAGTGCATCCTTCAGTTCAAACCGTCCCGAGGAGAGCCCAGGTGAGAGGCCTGGGACTTCCCTGTAGCTACCGCAGGTGCGTGCTATGAAAATGCATGTTTCAAACGCTGATGTCTGTTACAGGACATAGAAGCCGCAGAAAAGTCTCTGCAGATCCGGAGTCACCCACTTCCACTGCCCGAGGTGGTGTCTCTTGAGGTGAGAATCTTAAGAAACAAAGGTAGAGAGACCCTGTCACTGTAAATTAACTAGTGGTTATATATGTGTATTTTCTAGATGTATTTATTCAGTTAAAATAAACAACATATGACTGATCATTATATGTCCACAGAGCCATACTTTGTACATAGTAGGTAATTGATGAGATCTTAAATAAAAAATTTTTTTTTCAAGTGAAAATTTTATAAAGATCCTGTGTCTTTTCACCCAGTAGCTTAGAAACGACTGTCCTGGCGGACGGTATGCACTAATGGTTAAGGTGACAACATACAGAACCAAAATACTTTTCCTGTTGGCTGAAGTTACAAGGAGCAAGCGGTTCAGCCCTTCACCAAACATTCAACCGATGCTATTTAAGTGCATTTTATGCAGCATAGTGTGGCTTTTGTCTGTTTTATTTTGCTCAGTTCAAGAACAGATTGGGAAGATGGTTGGCAAAAATAAACCATCTTTGGCATATGAATGTATTTTTGATGAAAGGGAATTTAACCACATATAGAATCGTTTGATTTGATATTTTTAATGACCTTCTTCAAATAAGATTTTGCTTGCCTAACCAGGGGTGAGAATGGACTCAAATTTAAAGGCTGAGAATTTGCCCCTCCATGTTCTGTGTTCATCTAGAAAAGCCAGCGATCAAGGAGAGAAAACCCTCTGGTTCAGATTGTGCCCGAGGCATGTCTTTCTTTGTTGAAGGCTCCAGTACCTCACTGGGGCCCTCACAGCAGGGGTTCATCTAGCCGCTAATGGTGGAGAAGTCCCAACCGCAGGCCTCCGTGGAACTTCTCTTAGCAAGGTGACCTCTAGTTTAAGGTCGTCAGGCTGTTTCTCCAACCACATGCACTCATGCAGGGCTATGGAGATCCCTCACCAGTTTCAACTCTCAGACCCCCTGGAGCTTTCTCATGCTCAGAGTGAATCGTTATGTGTTCTTAATGCTGTCCAATTGGCCGAACTTCCCCAAATGGCACTGCTAGTGATGACCTAATACAAAATGCCCTCCCGTGAGGAGGAGCTTGGGCAGTTACCTTTCTTGATCTCCTTAGGACAGTGAGCCCAGAAACCATTAAGGCTTTCACATGGAGTATGGTCATGTTGCAGGCGCTTCCAGAACTTACAGACCGCTAGAGGCAGCCCAATCATACAGCACCTCAACTTTCAAGTTAGTTGAATTAAAAAATTGTTAGGTAATCTCGCTTTTTTTTATTTATTATTATACAAAAAAAAGAAAGAAATTAAAATCAGTCATGTCATGTGCTTTGTTCAAAGATACAGTGGCATTTTAAAAAAATGTTTTCCCCATGCAAATAAGGAGTCAATTCATCTGAACCTTATCCGGTAACATACAAGTTATATTTCAGGTCCTGACTTCATCCCAGGTGAAACCTTTTCATGTTAATTTTAAAGCAATTAATGTTTAATCATTTTATTGACTCTTAATTTTATTGAATAATAATTTTGGTGTGGGTAATCACTTAGTATGGGATTTGTAACATTAAGCAACGACATTTAACCACTCTAGCCATAAATGATAATACTGGTAATAACCACAAGGCCACAAGAGGGCGTGCAAAATCACAATAAAGTTCTGAAATCTGTAATTCTGCCAGGCTCTGGTTTTACTGAGAAATTTGAAAATTAACACTAGTAAGTAGCCAGATTTTTTTTTCCTGAAATTAACATAAAATATTCTGTAGAGGAAGTGCATTCTACATGTATGTGTGTACACGCACACACACATTTAAGTGAATAAACATTTAGACTATTATGAAGAGCCAAGTTCAATTGCTTGATATGTTTTTTTTCTTTTGCATGTTTTTTCTCCTAGACTCTTTACTGGGCATCAGTGGAAGAATATATTCCCAAATGGGAACAGTTTCTTTTAGGAAGAGCACCACATCCTATTGGTGTTGAAAATCAAGATGAAGCAGAAAATACTATTCGGAACAAGGCACAGTGATGACTTCTTCTCATACTAGCTTAAAAAATGTGTTTAGTAAAACTGAATAGTAAAGAATTTGCAGATTGTAGGAACCAAGTATATGCTTATGCCCCATCCCCTCCTTAATGATAGCAGACATGAGAATCTATGGGCCAGTCTTAGATTGTCCCTTAGAGACTCACTACTATCTCAAGGTCATGAATTTGCTTTCGACCAAATCCATGCAAGTATTAGAAACTAATGTTGAAAGGTAGACTGTTTATTAAGTAAGTTGCTGAATTAGTGCTGTGTATGTTATTTTTAAAAAAAAAATCATTTAGTCATTATCATTTATGTGTCCCAGTTGTTAGTTCTGACTTCACATTTTCTAGAATCCTTACTTTTCAGTTATATTATTCTGGGGATAAGGCTCACTATTTTAGTTTCTTCTAACAAATGAAAAGACAGTGGCACTTAGCTGCTTCAGTATAGTAATATCGGTCAAAAAGTAGATTCAAAGGATTTTGCTCCTCAGCGATAATCAAAGCTCTACAAGTTCTGCAGGGACAACGAGTACAGAGCATTTGGTCAGCAGCCCAGTCTCAGCTAGGACTGGGCTTGGTAAAAGGACATCCTAATACCCTGGTGATGGCTTTTGGGTTTTGAATTGCCAACCCTGTGAGTGCAAACAGCTCCTCCCTCGCCTTTTTATCTTTAAACTTGCCCTTCCCTCTCCCATCTACTTTCATTATTTCTGAAACACCTGTCAGAAAGCGTTGGGTCACACCCCTAAACAGCTTTGAGGTTCCTCAGTGCACTGCTGCTTGCACACAAAAATTATAATTTTTCTAACTATGGAAGCAGCTCCTGCTACTGAAGAGAGCCTATGCTACTGTACAATGAAAGATTGTGTAGTTCAGGCTGGTTTGTGTTTTTAAAGGAAGGTAGCAGGACAAACTAAACAAACTAGATTGAAACACGCATTGTGCCCACACGTTCCTTTACACAACCATCTTGGAAATACCTCCTTGAGTGGGTGTTGGTGTGGGTAACAATAACGTTGTTTTCATAATATGCACTGGCAGATTAGCATACTTCTCTACAGTGTTAACGGTTGTAATTAAGGACTAAGCAGCACAGAGTGTTAGTCCGATGACAATTTCATCTATAGTGTCACAATACAAAATGTCACAAAATATTAGAACTGTTAGATACTATCAAGAGTATCAGCCTCAACGCTGAGAGCCTTTAAAAATGGAAGACAGAGAAAGGAAGAAAAAAGAAAGCTTGGCATAGCGACCAGAAAAATCTTATCCCTCCCCAAGAATGTTCTGCCATGAAAATAGATAATTTCCCCTTGTTGCCTTACAGTTTGGTTTGTAGCCATGCAGTTGACTTAGCAGGAGAATGCAGCGCTTTCTAGCAGCTTTGAGTTGGTAAACAGACTTCGGTGTAGGAGAAAGGAACATGAGGGAGTTTTTTTTTTAACATCCAGTCTTCCCCGGCATATGCACAGAAGAAGGTGAATGAAGCAATGTGAAACCTAGTTCTCTTTAGTGGAGTGGGGAAAAAAAGGCTAAACATTTGCTGAGATGGTAAAATATTGTGTCAAGCAAGTAGGCACATTCCAAAATTAAACAGTGGTTGATACGTTAACGTCCTCAAATATGTGAGCGCACACTTCCTTTGGGTTTTGTAAATGAAATCACCAGTAGGTTAGATTAAGATACAAAATGAATGGCAACTTAACCATCTCAAAAATGATTCAGGGTTTTCTCCCTTAAACTAACTTGCTAAATAGTTATTAAAGAGTGCATACATTTGATATATTCTGGGTTAAGATTTAGGGCAGGAGGGAAGGTATTTCTAGGTGTAAGCTGTGTCATCTCTCCCATTTTTTAGTTCATACTCCAAAAGTCCCAGAGATGACTTTGTTCCTGGCCCCACAGAGCGTGCTCCGCCCTCCCCTTCTTGCAGGCTGTAACAGATTGCACCACATGGTGTGTTTATAAAAAAAAAAAAAAAAAATTCCAGAGAGACCTGGATACCCCACTAAAGGTCTTTATATTCCTCATGACAAATTACTAGCTTTGCACAGGGATTTCCAAACATTGTTTTCGTAAGAGGGGAGAAATGCCATACCTAATGTATATTTTGTACACAATTAGTAGGAATCAGACCAGAAAAAGGAAATGTCAACTACTCACACCTCCACCCCCAATTTAGTCCTCTTTCCGTACCCTATATTGTACCTACTGTTTATTCTTCATGAAAATGATGTAATTGTTTTAGTAATGGGTTTTCAAAATAAAGGCCGTTTTCAGAATTTTCCACAGCCTTTCTTGGATTGCTGCTAATCTATAAATAGCCAAAGCTCATTTTCTGCTGAAACGCTTCAAGTATATGACATTATTAAGCTATACAATGCTAAGGATCGGGGGAAGCTACAGTTTTTCTCTAGACTTTAAAAAGTAAATTTTACTAAGCATGCAGGAAGAAGGCCCTGTACTCTGGACAGCAGGCATCTGGTCTTCCCAGGCGTGGGGAGCAGTGTGAATGGAATACAAGTCCAGCGGTTTTTCTCTGCATTGTGCATGAGGTGTTTTAACTTTTGACACCTTGAAACTTAGATGAGGATATTGATCTTTCACTTTCTTTACACTTTTGTCATTCTCCCTTTCCATCAAACAAAAAAATAAGGTGGATATGTTATTAAATCAAAAGTAAGCTTTTATTTGGAGGTCATTTTGTCACCTCTGAGATCACTGGAGACAGGCTGAGGGTGAGGTGAGGATGGGATATGTGAAAAAACAGTTTGCAATCACTAGTTTTAGACAAGGGGAAGATATTAAGCTTTAAACCACTATCAGATGAGTTTTAGTGTATAAAATTTGATGCACAAGTCCATGAATTTAGTTTATTTACAAAATATATCCTTTTATTTTCCTTCCTTATTCTATTAATTTGTCTTCTTTCTCTAAGCCAATTCGCATCCTTTTATTTTGTTTTTTGAAGTCTTATTTGAAGCAAAGTTTTAAATCTCCCTAAAGAGTCTCTTTGCCCTTTTTAAGAATTGCCCAAATATAACAGCTATGTGGTTGAGAAACTCTTCATTTCCATATACTTTGACCTCTCCACTTTAATTAGATTGCCAACCAAAGTCTCCTCTTCAGAGAAGGCAATGGCCACGTGGTGAGTTCAGACAGGAAAAGAAATGGTGGCAAATGTGGACAAGGGAAAGAGGAGAGAAACTACTTTTAGAAAGTTTTGAGTTGGAACAAGGGGTCTTGCTCTCTCGCTGGTGGTGTTTTTGTTTCTCTTATAATTTAGAAGTTAATTTGTCTACATAGGAAATCTAATTCCCTATTGCTAATAAAAGAACGTGTAGAGTTTTCTGGGGCCAACATGGGGATGTGTCAAACGTCGGCAATTAGGAGAGGATTGTTTTGTGGATTTGACACCTGGCATTGTGACTCCCTTTCTAACTGGAACTGAGATTATATACTGACTAAAATCCAAGACAAGGAAAATGACTCCAACAAAGACAGAGGCTTAAAAATGTTTCCAGACATCATCTTACCTCTCAGAGTCAAGTTTCCTTGCTTGCAAGAAAAAGGACCAGATCCCTTGCATATAGTAATGTTTTAAAGTTCTTGCTATTTTAACAACTCTAAATTGTGTCTCAAGCAAAGACAAAGACAGAAACTCTGCTAAAGTAGTGTAGATTGACTACAATCAAATCAATAAATAGAGCCATTGAGAAGAAACAGTGTTCTTTAGAAAGTGATGGTTTAGCATGTTTTTCTCTTATTATGATAATTAGGTCACTTAGTCTCCACTGCAAGGAAGGAATGATAAAGAATGCTTTGACCTAAGTCTAGGTTATTAATGTACAAGAGTGCTTTTTTTTTTTTTTTTTTTTTTTTTTTTTTTAATGTTTTAGGCAATTCCACTTTGGGGGAAATTCAGTCAAATTAAAGGGAGATAAAAGTACATTTATATATTTTCTCTAATTTATCTCTGTTTTGTTTAATCTCCCAATGCAACATAATTATTTTCCATACTCTCTCTCCAACTATTTATAAGATCTATAATACTTATAAACATATCCTTGTTGTAGCATGCTCTACCCCAAACAAATACTCAGATATGCAAAAAAAGCCAAATTGAAAGCCTTTTAAAATGCTATCCAGTAAACATAGAAGTGGCGTCATTCAAGCACCACTATTTCATTCAGCAGATCTTAGTGACTGCCTACAGTGCAGCAGGTGCAGTTTCAACACCAGAAATACAGCAGTAAACAAAATATCCCCCAAAATCTATGTCTCATGGAATTTACTTTCTGGAGGGGCAATGGGTTAATGGGGTTGAAGGTAGTGATAAACAAAAAGTAGTACTTGATATAGTAAATGGTGACAAGGTCTAATATAGTATGAAGATCTAAATGTCTTCTCGATGCAAGAAAACAGAGCAGTTTTCATAGTTTCTCAGAAAATATGACTAGAACAAAGAGACTTCTTTCTCTACTCAAAGATCTTGAGTGGGGAGTTTCCATTGAAGCAGCGTTTCCACTGCTACTGATTTGGACACTGTGTTAGCTTATTGAATAGGTAGGCTTATGATAAAGAATGAAGAAAGAAATGCTCCCTACTTCAACAGATATCTGTATATCAACATTCACATCAGCATTAATCACAACAGCCAACGGTGGAAAGAACCTGGCTGAATGTGTAAATGAGATGTGGTATACGAAAGCAAGCAAGGGCAGCTCTGCTTCTATCAGACAAACTACACTTCAAGCAACAAACAGTAACAAGAGACAAGGAAGGTCAGTATATCATGACTAGAGGCCCGATGCACAAAATTCGTGCCAGAGTAGGCTTTCCTTCCCCTGGCTGCAGGCACTGGCTTCCATCTGGCACTCAGGACCAGGGCTTCCCTTGCACCCCAGCTTTGTCTGGAAGGCTGTCTGGTCTAATTAGCATATTTTGCTTTTATTATTATACATAATGGTTGATTCATCAAGAAGGTATTTCCAT